TGTAGCTAGAACTTTCAGTACAACACTGAATAGGAGCGGTGATAAAGGGCATCCTTGTCTTAATCTTTCTCCATTGACAGTAATGTTAGCTGTTGCTTTTGTACATTTGGCCTTAATTATGTTAAGGATTTTCCCCTTTTATTCCTAGTTTGCTTGGCATTTTTATCAGGAAAAGGGTGTTGGATTTTATCAGATACCTTTTCTGCACTGATTAAGAGGATCATGTGATTCTTTACCTTCGTTTTATTTATGTGGTGAATTACATTGATTTTCTAATGTTGAACCATTCTTGCATTCCTCGTGTGAATCCCGCTGGACCATTATATATTATTTTTTTGATATGCTGTTGAATTCTACTGGCTAGAATTTTGTTGACAATTTTTGCATATATACTCATGAGAGATATTGGCCTGTAACTTTCTTTTTAGGTGGTATCTTTGCCTGGTTTTGGAATTAGGGTTATGCTGGCTTAAAGTAATGAATTAAGGGGTATTCCTTCCTTTTCTACGTTCTGGAATAGTCTGAGTAGAATTAGTGTCAACTCTTCTCTGAATGTTTGATAGACTTCTCCAGTGAAGTGATCTGAGCCGGGGCTTTTTTGCTGTGTATTTTTTTTAATGACACCTTCAATTTTTTTTTTTTTTTGTTATGGGTCTGTTCAAATTTTCAACCTCTGTTAGTTTAGGTAAGTTGTGTGTTTCTAGAAATTTGTCCATTTCTTCTAGGTTTTCAAATTTGTTGGAGTACAGTTTTTTCATAATATTCTGTTATGATCCTTTTTATCCCAGTTAGTTCTATTGTTATGTCACCCGTCTCATTTCTTATTTTGGTTATTTGCATCTTATTTTTTTCCTTTGTCAGTTCAGCCAGTGGTTTTTCAATTTTATTGATCCTCTCAAAGAACCTGTAGTCTTGAGGATTCTTTCTATTGTTTTTCTGTTTTCTATTTCATTTATTTATATTCTACTCTTTCGTTTCTTCTGGTGACTGCGGACTTCTTTTGCTGCTCTTTTTCTATTTGTTTTTGAGTTGTAGGGATAAGCTATTGATTTTGGCCCTTCTTTTTTGATGTGTGCATTTATTACTATAAATTCTCCTAGGAACACTGCTTTTGCTATGTCCCAAAGGTTTTGGTATGTTGTGTTTTCACTCTCATTTGATTCTAAGAATTTTTTTAATTTCATTTTTAATTTCTTCTATTATCCAATGGTTTTTAAGCAAGGTGTTATTCAGTTTCCATGTATTCATTTTTTTCCCTTGTTCTTTCTGTTATTGATTTCTAGCTTTATACTTTATGATCAGAGAAGATGCTTTGTATTATTTCAATACTTCTGAATTTATTGAGGCTTGCTTTGTGGGTGGTCTAATATATAGTCTATTCTGGAAAATGACCCAGGTACATTGGAGAAGAATATGTACTGTGCTGCTGTTGGGTGGTATGTTCTATACATGTCTATGAGGTCGAATTGGTTGATTGTGTTATTTAGATCTTCTGTATCTTTGCTGAGTTTCTTTCTAGTTGTTCTGTCCATCATCAAAAGTGGTGTGTTAAATTCTCCTACTATTATTGTAGAATTGTCTATTTCTCTTTTCAATTTTATTAGTTTTTTTTTAAATGTATTTTGAAGCTCTGTCCTTGGGTGCATAAATATTTATTACAATTATGTCTTCTTGGTGGCTTGATCCTTTAATCATTACATAATGCCCTTCCTTGTCTCTAATAGTGACTTTGTCAGAGATTATTATTGCCACTCCTCTGTTTTGGTTACTGTTTGCGTGATATATTTTTTCCATCCTTTGATTTTTAACCTATATATGTCTTCATGTCTAAGGTGTGTCTCTTGTAGACAACATATTGATGGGTCATTTTTTTTATTCGTTCTGCCACTCTCTGTCTCTTGATTGGTGCATTTAAACCATTTACATTCAGTGTGATTATTGACATGTATAAATTTAATGTTGCCTTTTTGTTATGCTTTTTATTGTATCGTTAATGGTTTCTTTGTTCTATTTAATCTTCCGTGCTGAGTTCTTTTTGTTTATGGATTTTCTTTTCATTTCCATCGTTATTGTTGAGTTTTTTATGTTTGCTGAGTCTTTTTTATTTTCTTCTTTTTTTTTTTAAGAGTAGATTAATTTTCTTTTTAGTTCCTCTGGAATTGACCTTTCTTTTCCTAAATTTAAAATAGTCTGTTATATCTTGGTATCACCTTGACTTCTTCTCCATATGGAAGTTATATAACTACACACTTTTCTCCCCCCTTTTGTTTTCAGGTTATCATTATTCACAGATTCACATCTCTGGTTCTTTGTTCTCAGCTTTATTTTACATTTGAGAATTCTTTGTCTGGGTTGGTATTTGGGTGACACTGTAGTGTGTCTTCATCTCAGGTTGTTGTCTGATGTTGTTGGTTCTCTGTCCAAAGGACTCCCTTTAATATTTCTTGTAAGGTTGGTCTGGTTTTTACGAATTCCCTTAATTTGTGTTTATCTGGGAATATCCTAGTTTTGCCTTTGTATCTGAAAAGCAGTTTTACTGGATATATGATTCTTGGTTGGCAATTCTTTCAGTGTTTTATATATGTTGTTCCACTATGTATGTCATTCCACTACCTTCTTGCTTGCATGGCTTCTGCCAAGAAGTCACCACTCACACTTAGCGGTGCCCCTTTGTGGGTGATATTTCATTTTTCACGAGCTGCTCTCAGAATTCTTTCTTTGTCTTTGGTTTTGGTAAGTTTGATTATGATATGTCTTGGTGACTTTTTGGGGTGTCTGTCCTGGTGGTGCAGTGGTTAGGCATTGAGCTGCTAACCAAAAGGTCCACAGATTGAATCACCAGCTGCTCCTTGGAAACTCTGCGGGGCAGTTCTACTCTGTCCTATAGGGTCACTATGAGTTGGAATTGACTCAAAGGTAATGGATTTTTTTTTTTTTGTTTTTTTATCCTGTATGAGGTTCGTTGAGTTTCTTGGAGTGACATCTTCTCATCTTTCATATTAGGGCATTTTTCTGTCAATATATCTTTTTTCTTTTTTAATTGCAGATAGTTTACAGAACTAGCTTCTCATTAAACAATACACGCTGTCTTGTGACATTGGTTGCAAACCCCACAATATGTCAACACTCTCCCCTTCCCGACCCTGGGTTCCCTATTACCAGCTTTCCTGTCCCCGCCTACCTTCTTGTCCTTGTCCCTGGGTTGGTGTGCCCATTTAGTCTCGTTTTGTTTTATGGGCCTGTCTAATATATGGCTGAAGGGTGAACCTCAGGAGTGACTTCATTACTGAACTAAAAGGGTGTCTGGCGGCCCTTGTCAAAAAATCTTCAAAAATTCTCTCTGTGCTTTTTTCTTTCCTCTCCTCCTCTTCTGGAATTTCAATTATGTGTAAATTCTTCCTCTTGATAGTGTCCCATGTAACTCTCATGCTTTCTTCATTCTTTTTTCTGATTGTTCCTCAAACAGGTTAGTGTCAAGGGCTTTATCCTCTATTTTGCTGATTCTTTCTTTTTTGCTTCAGTTCTACTTCTGCGTCCTTCTGTTGCGTTATCTACTTCTGATATTTGTTAATCTTCTCGATTTCTAGTTATTTTTGTGATTTTTATTTATTTTGCTACATTGTTCTTAAATTGTTTTCCTGAATTCTTCCAGAGTTTTGTCTGTGTTTTCCTTGATTTCTTTAAGGATCCTGTAAATAAGTCTTGTGAATTCCTTATCAGGACATTCGATTACCATTTCTTCCTCAGGAAGGTTCTCTGCTCCTTTATTTTAGTCATTTATTCAAGCCATCTTATCTTGTTTCTTTGTATGATTTGTTATTGTCTATTGTCTCTGAGGCATTAAGGTGTTATTTTATTGATCGACTGATTGATTGTATGTTTGTTTTGTCCTGATTTTTTGTTTTGTTTTGACATATCAGGGCAGGCGAGTTGGGCGTGCTTACTGCTTACTTGATGGCACAGGAGTACTTACTATCTGTCTCTGACTAGGTGGGGTTTCAGCAGGCAGGGTAAGCCCACGTCATTGTTCACTGGGCAAGCGAGATGGCTGAGAGTGGGCTGGGCAGGCACTGGCTGTCGCTTGTTGTCACTCCAGTGGCATGGGAGTGCTCACAGCTGCTCACCAGGTGGGCAGGGTGGCAGCCAGGGGCTGTGGCGGGTGGCCAAGGCTTGGGGTTGGGCAGCCAGGGGTGCTGGAATGCTCCTGTGCTGCTCAGCAGGGCTGTTCAGCAGGCAGGGGGCAGGGTTGGGCAACTCGGGACACTGGAGCATTCCAGTGCCACCAGGTGGGGTGGGGCAGTAGAGGGGGTAGGGTTGGGCGACTAGAGACGCTGGAGCACTCGTGGGTCTCTCAGTGGGGTGGGTTGGCAGGTGGGGGGTGGCAACCAGGGGTGCTGGAGTGCTCCCACGCTGGTTGGTGGGTTGGCAGGTGGGGGGCAGGGTCAGGCGGGTGGGGGCTCTGGAGTGCCACCACTTGGCAAGTGAAAGTGGGGGATGGCAGACAGGGCTGGGTGGGAGGGATAAGAAGGGGGATTTGTACTGTGGTCCCTGGCCATTGGGGATGTGGGGATTTGTGCCTCTAATCCCCACTAGGTTGGGGGAAGGAGGAGTGTGCTCCTCTGGTTGCCATGTCAGGGTGCCTGGGCACTTCCTGTTAGCTGTAGCCTGCAACTGGGACCTGATCAAGTACAAGGAGGAGAGGCTGTCCGTAGTCCCGTCAGGTAGGGGACCTCCTGTTAATACTCTGTGGATCAATTACTCCGTGAGCACCACCCAACCTAATATTCAGGGACTGTCGCTGGTGGGTAGCCCTGTCTCTGGGTCCTGGCTCCTTCCCTGCTCTGTGGATGCTAGGGTCCCCGGAGCTCCTACCCACCTTCTGTACTTTCCCTCTTTAGATCTGGTTCATGCCCTGCTCACCTTGCTTCACTCTGGGTATGTTAACAGTTTTTCTGTCTCCTGTCGGGAATTCCGTGTAGTTGCCTTTCTGTGTTCCTCACCTGGGATGGCTGTTGGGTTTGTCCCAAGATGGTCATGCTGCGCCAGGTTAGCTGGTAGGGGACCTCTGCTCCATATCTCTCCTCATGTGCTGTTTTTGATCAATTCTTTTTCATCTGATGCTCAGGGTTCCAGGTTGTCCTCTGTATCTGTTTCACTTGGTTTCTCGGGTCTTTGCTGTAGAGGGACAGCAAAGTGTGTCTGACTAAGCTGCCATCTTGGCTCCTCCCCTAGTCCAAGGTTTCTTTTAACGTCGACTTGCTAAAACCCAACCAAACCTGTTGCCATCAAGTCGATTCCTACAGGACAGAGTAGAACTGCCACACAGAGTTTCTAAGGAGCAGCTAGTGGATTCGAACTGCCAACCTTTGGTTAGCAGCTGTAACTCTTAACCACTGCACCACCAGGGTAACCAACAAAATGGAGCTCATATTAGTTTTCCTAACCCATTTAATTTTCCAATAATTCCCGGCTGCAATGACTCAAGAAAAAAAAAGACTTAGTTTTCCCTGTTAACAACCTATTTTCAGTAGATCCTTCTTATTTGCAAAGAAAAAGTATTAGTGATAAGTGAAAGCTATTGTAGATCATCAGTGCTCAAACTGTTTCTCATAATTTATTAATGATAATTACCATCATAAACCAGTTTCCATCAGATTGATTCTGACTCCTGGTGACCCCATGTGTGTTGGAGCAGAACTGCACTCCATAGGGTTTTCAATGGCTGATTTTTCAGAAGTAGATCACCAGGCCTTTCTTCTGCAGCACCTCTGGGCAGACTCAAACCTCCAACCTTTCGGTTAGCAGGTGAGTGAGTTAATGGTCTGCACCACCCAGGGACTCCTAATTACCATCATAGAAAATATGCATGTGAAAGTAAACAGAATAAAACTCAGGTTACTGTCCAGGACATTTTCCCATGAGACAAACATTATTATTTAGTCTCTAAACTCCTTTCCTTCAAAAAATAAGTCTCTTAAAAATGTTTTTCTAGATTAGGGATTAAAAAACTATGATACATATACTAAATAGGTCCAAAAGGCTTGTTTTCAGTTGCATAGGGTCTGGTATTATTATCTGTTCCAATCTTCCTCAACTTTTCTGAACAGTTATGAAATACTGCACCTAGTTCAAAAGACTGTGCTCCCTTGCCACCCACCCACAAGGTAGTTCATTTCATACTCTCCATACACCCTTTCCTGGAGATAATTCAGAATTTTGGTCCTGAAGTATAAAGAGATTTTTTTTTGTTGTTGTTATCTGTTCTAAATAATAGCCTCCCCTTTCCTTCTACCCATGATTCAAAAACCATAGCAGCAAATGTAGGAGACAGCAGGGGGGAAATGGCAGCCACAGCACAAATCCTACAGGAAATAGAAACTAAAACTTGGCTTGACATAATTGAGCACAAATGAGCTGAAATTAAACAGTGATATTCATGCTTACAAGGTGTTAGAAAACAAAAAACGATAAATAGTACTAACAGCTAATCAGCTAATGCATCACATCAGAATATTTAGAATAGTGAAGTTTTACATCAACAGGCTATTTTTACCATTTACTTTTGGATAATGGGTATGGTTTAAAAAAGCATACAAAGTCTTTCTCCATCATAAGGTAAGCCCCTAAATCATGTCAATGTTTATTTTTTGCCAGACTAATAGATCATTGTGTATGAGGTTGCCATAAATTGGGGCTGACTCCACAGAAGCTAACAAGAGATCAAAAATTAAAGTTTTCAAACGAATATCCAAGCACTCACATAATGCTTGCATCTTTCTGTAAATAACACTTATGAGTATCTTGAGGCATCCTCCACAGTGTACGTTTGTATATTACTAAATTACATTACTTGCCTGAGATCATATTCTTTGAAGTGATAAAAATTAATCATTTATAAAAATTAATCATTTTATCAAAGATTACATAATACATTATTAACAGTTAACTATTAGTTGAGTAAAGAGGTAGTTTTTAGTTAATTAGTTTTGTACTCCTGCTCTGTGCGCATGCACGCACCACACAAATATACCTGGACTGCGCTAATGAGTTTCACTTTATGTTAAATAAGTACAAGCATGTTGAGGTTGTATATTTTCTCACCCCTCAGTGTGAAACCCCCCTGTGAAATCTGGCTACAGTAGAATGTCAGCTTGGTCATTATCTCCCAAGTAAAAATTTCCTGGCAAAATTGGGAAACTAGAAACTGATGTATTCCCAGATGAGTTTCACTCTTGGCTTCTTTCGGGGCATAGAGGAACTTGCCCATGTGGAAGGAAGTAACATCCTTTCTTTTATAATCATACTGGAGGACAGGAGAGAAAGACTATCAATGCATTTAACGTATTAGTCTCAGCCTACCTACAGCCTTTTCTCTATGAAAAAGAAAAAATGAATAAAAATGACCGGGATCAACACAGCATTTCTTCTTTGTTCTTCTTATTATTGGTGTCTCAGACCTTCTCATTTATTTGGATTTACTCTAAGGAGTTTTTGTTTAAGTCTGGACTTTTTGCTGAATAATGTTGCTGTTTTAAGAACAAGGTACTGCTAGGACCATACGGTTCCACGAATGAATTCCTTCAGATCTTCAAAAAATAGAGAGCTCTTATGCTATTTAAAATACTTCAGAGCAGAGAAACTACTTCCCAGTTCTTTTTATGAAACCAGCATAACCTTTATCAAGAGCTGGCAAAGATAACACAAAAAAAGATGACTACAGATGAAACTCACTTATTCATTTAAATAAAAATGTCACCAAACAGAACTAATATATGCTCAAATATTATACCATGACTAAGTAAGTGTATGGAGCCTTGGCGGCACAGTGGGTTAAGAGCTCGGCTGCTAACCAATAGGTCTGCACTTTGAATTCACCAGCCACTTCTTGGAAACCCTATGGGGGCAGTTCTACTCTCTCCTCTAGGGTTGCTATGAGCTGGAATCAACTTGACCTGCAATGGGTTAGGTTTTGTTTTAAGTAAGTGCATGGCTGGTTCACAAACTAGAATCTACTAAAGTAATTCATCATCCTAAATAGGTCAAAGAAGAAAAGCACATACGATAGGTCATGATAGATGCTGAAAATACCAACTGACAAAATTCAACCTCCATTCCTGATTAAAAATGTTTAGTTAAGTAGTAATGAAAGGACATTGTCTTCACATGACAAAAAATATATGTATCACACACTCAATATCTATTATTTAATAATGTTCTCAAAGTGCTAGCCCGTGCAAATAGACTAAAAAAAGAGACAATATAGACACAATCCAAACATCTATTCTCTGTAAAAGTCCTAGTACACTACAAATATTAAGGAATATTTCCTTAACTTGACAGACAGAAATTACTGACAATTAACAGTAGACTTCATATTTAATGGTGACATAGTAAAGACATCCCCAAACTAAGAAACAAGATAAGGATGGCCAGCATCACAGCTATTATTTGTCATTGTTCTGGAGAAGCTAGCAATTCACTAAGCCAAGAAAGGAAGAGATAAGATTAGCACTATATTTAATGATTATTTTCCTAGAATATTCAAGAGAAACAATTTATTAAAACTAATAAGGTTGGCCAGACATATAAACACTCATCTACTAAGTACCAGCCAAAAAATACTAGATAATATGATGGCTAAGATCTCAAACAGATTATTTTAATGAAACATGTACAGTTTATTCTAAATTTTATCTGAAAGAGAATGCAGTAAAATTCAAGAAATTTTACGGGAAAAAAAGAGAGATTTGCCCAGTGAATTACTAAAAATACACCATAATCAAAGCAGAGTGGTATTTGTGTAGGAAGAGACAAATAGATCAAAGTAACAGAAGAATCCAAAGGAAACCCACGTACACATGAGAATTTAGCATATTAAGGTAGCATTTCCAATCACTTAGGAAAGAACTGATTTCAACAAATAATTTCAAGAAAAGTGGCTAATATTCAGTAAAATTAAACAAATAAATTAAATCCCTACCTTATATAATGTATAAAAATAATTTTTAGACGTTTTAACGAGTAAAGCATAAAAAACTGTAAAAAGTATTGAAAAAACAGGAGAAGCTTTTAATAATTTTTGAGTGTGGGCCCCCTTCTTTAGCAAGATACAAAACCCATGCATTTTAAACAAAAGGTCCTTACAAATATTTGCCATATATTTCATAAAAGATCAATATATCTGTATCCTAATAAATAAACAGTTTTGAAAAATAATGGGTAAAATATATGGGCAGACCATATTAAGAGATATGGAATATCATGCAGACATTAAAAAGATGACAAGGTTCTCACCATAAATTTTTGGTCTAATAAAGCAGATCATAAAACAGTATACATAATCTCATTTACAAGAAAGAGAAATAACATTGTTATGGGCATATAAGAGAGATGCGCAAGATCTTGGATTACCTATGGCTGGGGACCGGGCTGAGGAGTTTCACTTTCTTTTATACATGGTTACATTATTCAAGGATTTTTTGTCCTTCCAAAATGAGGACAAAACAATTGTTCGGCGAATACAGTGCTTGCTTCTTTGCTGCTTCTCGCTTGAAATGCGTACTCCAACTGTGTTAGGGAGGCAGATCATTTTACTTCACAGAACGTACGACCATTTCTCTCTTATGATAATGTGTCAAAAGCATCTACCGTGAGATAAAGGACACTTACAAAGGCGCTCTACTTTTGCTTATTACGGCATAACAGTAACAGAGAGACACAACCTCTCTTTGGTTAGAATACCTTCCCCCCTCTTTTTTCCCTTCTTGAGCAGTACAGCTTCTTACGCCCTTTACACCGGGGTGGGGACTCTACCTAACGCCTGGGTTCCCACTGGGGGCAGGGTTTGCTTCTGCTCTTTCCGCCTTTCTCTCCGTGACCCTCTGGGAGGTTACCCAACTTCTCATTGACAAGACTATGATGACACCCTACAGGAAAGCAGAGAGCCAAACTGTGCAACAGCCTTAGGAAAAACAACAGAAAGAATCTCTTAAGAAGTTTTGAAAAAGTAACCACGTTGTACTTGCTTCTAGGAGGCAGCCCCTGTCCCGAAGGGAAGTTGGGGACACTCCTGACCGGGTCCACTCTCACCCAGACCACGCAGGCCCGGTGGCCCCACTTCCCGGGCAGAGAACTCAGTCACCAAGAGTGGAGTCTGGCCGAATCCCTCCCCTAGAGCCGTCCAGGCGGGGGCCGCAGTTGCTGCGGCAACGCCACCGGCCGCGAAAGCCCCTTCCTGGCTCCGCCCCGAAACTGGGACGGGGCAGTTTCTCTGACGCAAACCCCTCCCCAGTCTGAGAACTGGTGGTCTCCGCAGTTCCTCAGCTTCTCTCCCTCAGGCGCCCACGCTGCCTGCGCGTCCTTCTCGCTCTCACACACAAGCTCTCCGTCACCGTGCTAGATGGATTCGGACACACCAACTCGCTCACGAAGTTTCTTACTCACAGTTGAGGGATTCAGCCTTGGTCTCTCACGCCTCAGGTCCGCTGCGCCCGCCGAGTGACTCCAACCGGAAGTTGTTTTTCGTTCCTGTTCAGAAGGCGGTGCCTGCGCGTGGAGCCATCAACCTTTTACCGTCAACCCCGCAAGGCCAGGCCGAGTCTTGCTTGGTCTTGCGCTGCTCAGTTCGGCCCCGCCCAGCCTCGCTCCGCCCAGCCCCTCCCAGTCCGGCCCCGCCTTGTAAGAAATGTAACAACGACAGAAAGGAATCTCTTATCAAGTTTAAAGATCACCGGAGGGTCTTAGCTAAATTTTTTGGCAAACGATAAATAACCAGGTCTGATATCACCCTGTATGTGAGTTAGAGTACCCAAGAATCACCCGAGAGACTTGTTAAAGATGTATATTTACCAACCCTAACCTAGGAATTCCCCTTCAGAGCAACTGGGGTAAAGCCCAGGAACCTGCGTTTTCAACAGATCCTCATGTAAATATGATTAAGGCGGTTAAGGTCCACACTTGGAGAAACATTGAGTCTTCTCTCTCTCTCTCTCTCTCTCTCTCTCTCTCTCTCACACACACACACACACACACACACACACACACACGCGCGCGCGCGCACGCACACGTTTTTCCCTACCTGGTAAATGTACTTGCAAAAGTTGAATGGTTGGTAAATGGAAGTAGACCTTTATTAGAAAATCTCTCATGAATTAAAACTTCCCCATCATTCCGTTTCCTAACCATGCCTAAATATTCCCCAAGATAGAAATTTTAGTTAACTATAACAAGAAAAGTATTTGTACTCCAGGTTCTAGTTCCAATACGTAATAGCTCAGGCAATTTGCTTAACCTAACTGAATCTTAAATTTTCCTATCTCACAAATGAGGACAGAGATAACCTACTTCATCGGATGGATGGTTGCCAGGATCAAATTCTTTAGCATTAGCAAAAGCACTTGGTTAAATTTAGAATGCTGGTAATGAAACGTGTTGTCTGGAGTCACTCATGTCATGCTGGCTCCTTCCCACCATCAACATCGTCCTTGAGATTTTTTTCAGGAAAAAGAAGCTGTGGTCAAATCCACAGCACATGTGGAAGCTTCAGAGAACCTTGAGGCCTGGACTCTGTACTTTGACTGGAGCATGACTGCATCTGGCTGAATGCATGTGGCACTTTCAGAACCTTCCATGGTGATAACTTACTTATTTAATTAAAAAAAAAAATTAACTGAGGGATCTGGACCAAGATGGCGGTGTGAGCAGCTGTGCACTCAAAAACACTAAAACCACCGAAAAACCAAGCAGAAACTGGCAGAACCAACTTTATTAGAATTCTGGAAACCAGTCAAAGAGTTATACCAACAAAGCAAATGCTGAATCAAGAAAAAGGCGACATATAAACCTTAAGAAAGCTTTTGGTTTTCTGTTTGCCTGATCCCCCAACCTCCTCAACTCGGCATGGCCATCTTAAGGTGTGGTTTGTAATCCCAGAGAGAGAGCCTGCTCTCTGGGTATAGACAAAGCAGAGCAGGCTTTCTTAAATTATTGCATGTGTCTGTTTTAACCTGTCTCAGGGCTGCTTGAGGACTGAAGCAAGGCACTAATCTCAGTCTAGCCTGTCTCAGTGCTCATGCAAAATGGATAAGCAACAAGTAAAACCAAAAGATTATAACATCCTGTAGATCTACAGGGTCAATACAATCCCTATAAAAATTCCAACAGCCTTTTTTTTCAGAAATGGAAAAGCAGATTCTCAAATTCATATGAAATTGCAAGGGGTCCTGAATTGCCAAAGCAATCATGAAATAGAAGAACAAAGTAGGAGGAGTCACACTTCCCAATTTCAAAACTTCTACAAAGCTACAGTACTCAAAACAATGTAGTGTTGGTATAAGGATAGACATATAGACCAAAGGAATAGAATTGACAGTCCAGAAATAAACCCATACATTTATGGCAATTAATTTTCAACAAGGGTACCAAGACCATTCGTGAGGGAATGAAGAGTCTCTTCAATGAATGATGCTGGGACAAACAGATCTCCACATGCAAAAGAATGAAGTTGGACCCATACCTCATACCATATACAAAAATTAACTAAAAATGGATCAATGACATAAATATGAGAGCTAAAATCATAAAATTCTTAAAAGAAAATATATAGGTAAACTTTAAGTCTTTGTTTTTGACAATGCTTTCTTAGATATGATGCAAAAATCACAACAAAAGAAAAATAAATAAATTAGACTTCATCAAAATTAAAAATATTGTGCATCAAAGGACTTTATGAAGAAAGTGAAGATGTCTCTATAGAATGGGAGAATATATTCAATAATTATATATCTGATAAGGGCTTAATATCCAAAATATATAAAGAACTGCTACAACTAAACAACAAAAAGACAAACAACCCAATTAAAAAACGGGGAAAGGTCTTGATAGACATTTCAAAAAGAAAAATACAAATGGCCAATAAGCTCATGAAAAGATGCTCAACATCATTAGTCATTAGGGGAATACAAATTAAAACCACAATGAAATACACTTCACACTCACTAGGATAGTTCTTACCAGAAAAATAACAAGGGTTGGTGAGGATGTGGAGAAATTAGAACCCTCGTGCATTGCTCGTAGGAACGTAAATTGGTGCAGCTGCTGTAGAAAAGTTTAGTGATTCCTCAAAAAGTTGAACATAGAATTACCATATGACTCAGCAATTCAACTCCTAAGCATATATCCAAAAGACTTGAAAGCAGGAGTCAAACAGATACTTGTACACCAATGTTCACTGCAGCACTATTCATGATAGCCAAAAAGTGGAAACAACAGATGAATGGTTAAACAAAATGTGGTATATACATACAATGGAATATTATTCAGCCATACAAGGAATGAAATTATAATACATGCTACAACATGGATGAAACTTGAACTCATTAAACTAAATGAAAAAAAGCAGACACAGAAGGACAAACATTTTGTCATTCCACTTACGTGAAATATCTAGAATAGGCAAATGCATAGAGACAGAAAGTAGATTAGTAGTTACCAGGAGCAGGGGCCTTATTGCTTAACAGCTACAGAATTTCTGTTTGGGGTGATGAAAAAGTTTTGGAAATAGAGGATGGTAATGTTGCACAACATTGTGAAAGTGATTAATGACACTAAATTGTACACTTAAAAATGTTAAAAATGGCAAATTTTTTGTTATACCCTGATGAATACAGATGCAAAATTCTCAATAAAGTTTTAACGAACAGAATTCAACAACATATTAAGAAAAGCATACATTATGATCAAGTGAGATTCATATCAGGAATGCAAGGTGGTTCAACATTAGCAAATCAATGTAATTCACCACATAAATAAAGGAAAAGAATCATGTGATCATCTCAATTGATATAGAAAAGGCATTTGATAAAATCCAACACTCTTTCCTAATAAAAACTCCCAGTAAAATAGGAAGAAAAGGGAAAATCCTCATCTTAGTTATCCAGTGCTGCTATAACAGAAATACCACAAGTAGATGGCTTTAACAAACCGAAATTTATTCTCTCACAGGCTAGGAGGCTAGAAGTCCAAATTCAGGGCATCAGCTCCAGGGGAAGGCTCTCTCTTTCTCTATCACTGTCTTTCTCTATCGGTTCTGAGGGAAGGTTCTTGTCATCAACCTTCCCTGAGCTTCTCAGCACAGGGACCCCGGGTCCAAAGGATATACTCTGCTCCCAGCTCTGGTTTCTTGCTCTGCTCACTTCTCTCTCCTTTTGTCTCTTGTAAGATAAAAGGTGATGCAGGCCACACCCCAGGGAAACTCCCCATACATCAGATCAGGGCTGTGACCCAAGTAAGTGCTGCATCCCACCCTAATCTTCTTTAACATAATCTAATCTTGCCTCATTAACCACAGGCAAAGATTGGGATTTACAATACATAGGAAAATTACATCAGATCACAAAATGGAGGACAACCACAAAATACTGGAAATCATGGCCTAGCCAAGTGGACACATATTTTGGGGGGACACAATTCAATCCAGAACAATCCTCAACACAATTAAGGGTGTATAAGCAAAAGCAACAGCCAACATCATTCTCAGTGGAGAAAGACTGAAGCCTTCCCCTTGAGAACAGGAACGAGACAAGGATGCCCATTATAACCACTCTTGTTCAGTATTGTACTGGAAGCCCTAGCCAGAGCAACAAGGCAAGAAAGGGAAATAAAGTGTATACAGATTGGAAGTGAAGAAGTAAAACTATTTCTAGTCACAGATGACACGATCCTATACTAGAAAATTCCAGAGATTCCACAATAAAGTTACTGGATCTAATAGAAGAATTCAGCAAATTGACAGGGTACAAAATCAACACACAAAAATCAGTTGGGTTCCTTTACACTAACAAAGAGAACTCTGAAAAGGAAATCAAGAAAACAATACCATTTACAATAGCCCCCCAAATGATGAAATACCTAAGAATAAACCTAACCAGGGATGTAAAAGACCTATAAAACAGAAACTATAAAACACTACTGCAAGAAACTCAAAGAGACCTACATAAACATTCCACGCTCATGGACTGGAAGATTTAATATTATGAAAATGTCAATACTACCCAAAGCAACGTATAGATATAATGCATTCCCGATTCAAATTCCAACAACACTTTTTACTGAAACGGAGAAACTAATCTCCAACTTTATATGGAAAGGAAAGAGACTTTGAATAGCCAAAGCAATACTGAAGAAGAACAAAGTAGGAGGCCTCACACTTCTTGATCTCAAAACATACCATACAGGCACAGTAATCAAAACGGCCTGGTACTGGTTCAAAGACAGACACATAGATCAATGGAATATAATTGAGAACCCAATTATCGGCAGCTGATTTTCAACAAGGGGTCCAAGTCCATTCAATGGGGAAGAAACAGTCTCTTTAACAAATGGTGCTGACAAAACTGGATATCCGTTTGCAGTAGAA